TCATTTAATCTCTCACTTCCAGCAAGATCGATTAGAGTAAATTTTTAGCAATTGCAATAACTTCCAATGTAGTAGAAAGGAGTTATCAATGAAAGTAGCAAGACTTAGAAAAGTCTAGTTTAAGTCAATATTAAAGAGTAGAATCATCTGAGTGAGAGTATCGAAGGAATGCTCAATAATAGAGTAATAAGTGCTCGTAATGGAACAGCGGGAGGAACTTAAAGCAATGGGGGCTAAACTAGTGCTAGAGGAAACAAGATTGGTAGTGCAGCTATTATTAATAAAAATATAAGAGATGTTTCCAAGGGTAAAACAGCCAATTCAATATAAAAGGCAGTAGGATAAACTGTCAAGTCAAAAATGGTAACACATTCTCAGCCTTAAGTGCTTCAAGGGCATCAGTAAGATCTTAATAAATGTAAAACTTATCAATATAACACTTATTAAAGTTGACAATAAGATTAGATAGCTAGAGGAATAGGCATAGTCAAAGAACAAACAGCTCAATTCAGCCAGAGGAGCTCCAATATCTAGAAACACAGACTTGAATGCAATTACCTCTTAGAAATCAAGTTAAAGCAAGCAATCTACTAGCACAGTCTAGCATGTAAAACAAGGAGCACAGATCACTCAGTAATAAAACAATTATGAAGAGAACCATGGCTCAATTGAGATGAATCACAACAATGAGAGCTCCCCAAACAATTTTAATAATATTTAGCAATAACCTAATTCAAAGCAATCTAGTGTTGCAAGCCTTATGAATTTCTCAGATGAGTATCAGCAATTCCTTAGTCTAGTAAATCTCCAAAATCCCCAGCAATATAGGCAAAAGAAGATGAGCATTAGTAATCTACTAAGGATGATAGAGGAGATATATGCATTTAGATATCAAAAGGATACTAGTAAGCTATAAAGTTCACAGAGCAATTTCAATCCTGCCGATAAAGCACTATATGTTACAGTCTTTGACTATTTGAATCAAAAATTCAAACAGAAAAAGATGCTAGATTAAGCTACAATCGACTTCATTGTTTCAATAGATTACTTTAGAAATCAGTCGACTGAAGTATAAACATTCTATAATTTCTTCATTCAGAACTTAGAGATCAAGGATCTTATGTTCTACTTGTACATGCGATCTCTAGCTGAGAAGGAAATCAATTAGGTAATAACAAGAATGAACACTGGAGATGTGAGATTGCTTAAAATCCCTAACCAAAAATGCGTAAAGCTCATCAGAAATTTCTTCTAAAACATCAGCAATAGTGATAACATAGAGGATACTTCGTAAGTTGAAGAGATGTCCCAGATTTTTCTAGAGACCCTTATTGAGGAGGCCATTGTGCATGATAAGTATGATGAGATAGAATAGAAGATGTCCTTCTCATTTTTCTTAGAATCCTTGTTAAAAGAATTTTAAGAGCAATAGCAAAAGGGGAATGATAGTGAAATTGTTGTCTCAGGTTAGGATCAGTTTTCACTGAATAATGACATGTACAATCAATAAAACTTTGGAGGTGATTCCCCTTAACTTGACATTAGAATTGATGACGTATCTCCCTTTTCCCAGAATATAAGCGGAATCAAAAGCTATAAGCAAAGTACAGGAAACTAAAATTTTGATAATTTTAATCTGAAGCTAAGGTCTCAAGACAATAGACTAGACTTAGATGACAGTGACTTAGGTGTTGGTGGGTATTAAGGAGGCAAATCAGTCAATCTAGAGACAATTAGCAATGAATAGAAGTATGTGATAAAGGATAAGATTCTAAAGTATGTTATTGGGAATAAACTGAATCAAGTAATATCCTTCATGCTCTCACACTACTCTGAGGAATTAAGCAAGGAAGTACTAGACATAATCAAGGAGGAAATAAGAAATGTGCTTTCCAATAAGATAAAATTGCTTCTAGATGCTGCTTTTAGTTAGAGTGAAAATTAATGGGTCAAGCTATTAATGATATCTTAGTACACTGAGGAGCATCGTAGATAGTTTTAGCTTTTGATACTTAAGATAAAAGAGTCAGTTACTAATACTATTCATGATATGGGAAAGGGGGGATTAAATGTTCAGATGAGATTTGAAGATCTGGAGGACTTAGCAAAGATGATCCTGCATGTTAATGAACTCAAGCAAGAACTGGCTAAACTGGTGGGTAGCTTGACTCTTTAAGCTAGAGTTGGCATTGAAACAGAGTCGGATGATCATGTCTCCTTCAATAACGGAGTCAATGTCAATATGGCCTTAGGAGGCAATTATAGAAGTGGGGATAGTGAATATGGAATGAATAACGATCCCAATGATAAAAGTATGATGAAAAATTATTTGAGAAATAGATACTGATGAAATATGAATGAATAAATGGATTAATCTATAAAGCATCTTAATATATTTATCACCAATCCTTAACGAAAATTTCAAATAAACTATATCCAAAACTACAGTCAATCTTAATATACATAGGACTCATTATTTTTGCTGTAAAAAATTTAATTCCCATTTGTTAACAGGAGTTAACTTTTGCTTGAGTCCAATCATCTCCTTAATTCTATCAGAATCAACTACATAGTTATTATAGCTATAGCTTAGTTCACTCGCTGAGGTATTTAGCTGAGTTTTACCTAAACTTACTATCTCTACTACCTTGGTGTATTTTTCATTTACTCTCTTCTATTCTTTCAGTTTCATTATTATTCTCTTCAAATCCCATCTTTAATCTCTTGACACATAGTACTTGCTATCTATTTCTGATTCCTATAGAATTATTTGAGACTATTATAAGATATTATCCTAGTCAAGCTATCGGCTTGGGTTTCTAGAGTGTCCTTTTTCAAGTTCTATGGTTTTAGTTTCACTGCTACAATTGATAGCTTGGTTCATTGAGTCCTAATAGTTATTATAGATTTATTGATAATCCTCAATCTGAAGTTGCTCTACAACAAGACTTAGTAAGAAGCTCAGAACTTTCGAAAAGCAGCAGCGTTTGAATTCCTTCTTCTCAACGAAAAAAGGCTTTATCAAATTCCAAAGTTAAAGCAGTATCTCCTTCTCTCTTAGATATAAAGAAAGCTATTTCCCATCAGTAAATTTCAAATTAGCGTAGTTTCTGGGGTAAGCCACAAAAAATTTCATCAGATATAAAGAATGTCCCAGATCGTCAAAAGTCAAAGTATTTTTTTATTTCTACTATTCTGAAAACTGATTTAATATAAACTCGAAATCTTTGATAGTCTTAATTTCCTGCTCCATTTTATTCTTGTTACTCAAGGAAATTCTTTTGTTGTCATCTTGCTTCAGAGAAATGTCATTTTATATCTTATCAATGCGCTTTTTATACTCAAAAGCTAAGCTATCATTGGATGATTGAATTATTTAGGAATGTCTTTAAGTGAGACTTTTTAAGCATTATGTTGCTTTTTTCTAGGTTTGCACTATAATTAGTATTTATACACTATAGAAAGTATACATTTAGAGTCTAGGACAAAGAAGTTTTGCACAACTGTTTCACTGCTAATTCGCTTAATCTTATCGACCTTCATATTTCTCTTGAGTAGGGGCTATTTACTTCTTAAGGGCTCATTTTCTTCCTGAACATACTCTGTGTTAGTTGCATATTGATAATATTCATCTGAGGCTGTGTCAAGCACGTTTTCATCTTAGAAAGTGGACTTACTGTGTATCTAACTGAAATTCACCTTTTTCTTACTTAAGTTATGAGTGGCATTTTAGTTCATTCTATTTGCAAGGTGGGAATGCTGAAGCTATTCTTTTTATAGATTCTAGCTACTTGTCTCAGTTTACAGAGATAGACGCTACTTCTTTTTTGATTTGCTATTACTTTAGACTTCTAGCTTGTTTAAACCATACTAGTGCTCTGGACTTTTGAAAATTTTCAGATTCGTATTATGCCCATTCGAGATCGTCTTAGAGTCAGATTATTGCTAAGTATTGATAATTTCACTGAAAGGCATGGAAATGGGTATTTATTATATCCTGCTTGTTTTAGGTGACTAGTAGTTTTTATGAATACTTGTTGGCTGTATCTTAGATTGCGGTAGGTATATCAAGGAGTTGGTTGATTGATTGTAAATCACATTCAATTTCTTGACATTTTATAAATGTGACTTAGATTTGGATTTATTAGATTCGATCAATTTTCTGTTCGCATTATGCTGAGTATAGGCAGAGTTGTGATAAGGCTGATATGAAAGTGGCAGATTTTCTAAGCTTGAATGGTTTTCCGTCCTGCTATGAGTCTATGACTGAGGTGTATTCAGGGTGTTAGTCGTGAATGGGTAAGTTTCTGAATCTACCTTTTCGTATGCGCAATAATACTGAGTGCAAGTATTCATTAAAATTTAAAATTATAGCTGTTAATTATTTAATTTAAATTAAAGCATTAATCACTGCAAAATGCTTAACAAACATGGCCCCCTCTTAAAGTCTAAGATAATAACTTTGAAGCCTGATGAAATATTTACAAAGATCGCTTTCCGATTATTAATTAGTTTATTTCACTGATGATATTTATAATTATCTGAATTTTTGTGCTAGGGTCTTTGAATTGTTTACCCCTATATCCTTATATCATCTTAATTTTTATTCGTAAGCTTAAGATACCTTATCTCCTGCTGGTAAGACTATTCCATATTTTTAATCAATTACTCATAATAAGCTTTTTAATCCTCCATCATGGCTGATTAAATCTTATTCAACTGTGATAGCTGCTCTATTTTGATTTTGAGGTCACAATTTTCATTGACAACTAACTTAAAATCATCCTCATATCTGTTGAGCTTTTTCTCGTATTGCTCTATTATTCTAGAACTGCCAGGGTTAGTTCCAGCATTCACAGACCTCAGCTCCTCTGGATTGATCATTTTCCTCTTCTCTAGAGACTTCTCATCAAATTGAACTTGCTTTCTTTTGAAGTTCGAGACCTAAGGACTGCTGGTCATATGAGCATCAGAATGAGTGTTGTAATAGAGACGGGCTCGTTTTTGATCACTCTGGGCTAATCTACTTCCAGGACTTTTACTTCGAGTGCTGCTACCGAATGAGTTATTTAGGTTGTTCTTCTATAGTATGCCATGGATTTTATCTAGACAGTTGTTGATCTCCACATCTTCACATTAGGATGCTGTCAAACTTTACTGGTGAGAGGGCAGTCCAACTGTATTGAGTTTGTATTTTATCATTAAACTTAATTATAGTATTAATTTCAGTAGAATTTTGTATATATTCATTTTTTAGAGAATAAGTATTTAAATAAAATCAACTCTTTCAGTGTCTCTGTGTATTTGAGTCTTATTTGACATGAGACTACCATTGACTCATAATCCTTGGTAAGCTTTATCAATAAAGATTCTACACAGAGTTGAAGAGTTGACTTAAGATAGAGAGTATCTACTTTTGTTGTCAAAAGACTTCAATTGCAGAGGGTTTTCAATCTAAACTCATTCATAATTTCCTAGCAGCAAGGGCAATACAGTGATTATTTCCAAGAGCCAAATCCTACACCTCAGCTTTCAAAGTCTCTCTGATGTAATTGACTTCTTTGGGTTCAGTCCTGTAAGCAGCTTGGCTTTCCATGCTATCTCCTCTGCCTAGCTGTCCATCTCTGCCTCTTCCGAATAAAAAGAGTTTGCCTTCAGTCACGATGCCAGTGTGTCCTCCGCCACAGACAACTCTTGAAATCTTGCCTTCAAACTAAAGCCTCTTTGGTTGGTTTAAATTAGCTTTTTCTTAATGGCCTAGTTGTCCATCGTTACCGTAACCCCAAGTGTAAGCCTCGCCTTTATCATTCAAAAACGCTGAGTGCTCCTCTCCACAAGAGAAATCAATAACGTGGCTAGAACCGTGAGGAAGATGAATCATAGTAGGCACATTGTACTTTTACAAATTAGCTTGAGTAGTTCCTAACTGACCATATCTGTTTGATCCCCAGGAATACAGATTTCCGTTTTTATCAAGAGCAATAGTATAGTCATTGCCGCATTCAACCTTTATGATGTCTTTCAAGCCTTCAACTTTCTTTGGAACGTCTATTTAATCCCAATTGCCATGCCCAAGGGCTCCATTCTTTCCAAAACCCCATGTATAAACTTCTCCATCCTCAGTGACACAAGCAGTGTGCTAGAAACCACAAGCAGCTTATCTAACTTTCTTTCCATCTAAGTCACCATGAACATAATCAATAGCATTATAATCTTTGTAGCTTCTTGGTCCGTAAGTCTTATTCTTGGATTCCTTCTATAGAGAAGCATTGTGACCTAATTTTCCCTAATCTGGATCTCCCCATGTTATTCTGATTAATGTTTTATCAAATTTGATGTATTTACAATTATCCGTCTTGAGTAACACCAGCTAAATGAGTCTTTCCACAAGCAACTTGCTTAAAGTTAACGTTAGGTGCATCAACCATAGTAGGCAACACTAAATTAGTCTATCTAGACAGATTTTCCTTTTAATTCATGCTTCCTCCCTATATTACTTGTGTCAGTATATCTTTCGTAAAATCCAATAAATATCTTATTTTATACGAATAAGAGTGGACGTATTTTATACATTTACTGAAATAGTTCACTCCAAGTCAATTCTCTTTATTGAGGCCACACATATACTTACCTTTGTTTTACCCCAGGTATATATTTATCCCTTAATAGTCACAACTGCACTGATATCACTGGAAGCGTTAACTTGGGTGATCTCCTCATCACCTAATACTGTAATTTGAGTTGGTGTTCCTACTGAGAAGGCTTCTGTTCCCGTTCCAAGCTGACCATTAATTCCTGATCCCCAAGACAACAACATTTTCTGATAAAGAGGATCCCTAAATGAAATAATCAATCAGACACGCTATTTTGATAATTTAAACATACGCTGATGATTAATTTGTCTACTGATTGATATCAGTATTTCCAAACATGCTATTATATCCATTGTAGAGGATAATGCCTGCTAAGTATAGACCCCCTAATTTTCTAATTTTTTGATTCAACTCTAGATTAAAATATGATTAGAATGACTGAAGTTTACATTTGTTAACTAAAAAAGGATAGTCTTTAGCTAATTTTTTACTATATTGCATGTTTGATAAAGCAGTAATCAAAATATTTACATAAATTCTGGCCTTTAATCCACCAGAATAGTTTTATAGGTTTTAGTATTAAACTACTTATTGTTCTGCTTTTGCAAATTTCTCATTTTTATAATTTTACAAATTATTACTATTCCTTTTACTGAAAATTAATTATAGATTATTATTATAGGGGTTTTGGGGTTTTGGGGTTTTGGGG